CTAACCTCCCAAGCAGCCAGAGGAAAACTCTTGAGGCTGAAATCGAGAACCTAGCGGAGCGCATTCGAGCTATGGAGGACCAAGTTTACAATTCTTCCCCCGATTTCCCCGGGGAAAATAAATATCGCTAGGACACTTTGATATTTGACGAAAAACTCGATCTCGTTCTTGCTCGTGTGTCGACCGAAACAACTCAACTGGAGGAGATTGAAGTTGGATGCACTCGGTTGGTGGTGCAGCTTGACGGTATCAATGTCAATCAGATTCACGTGGGCAAGATTGAAGAAGAGGAAGATGCGCTGAGATTGAGGGTGATATCCTGATGGAGGAAACTCCTGGGCCCAAATTCGAGAGTCCCTCACTTGAGCCATCCCTCTGCACCGTCGAGAAAGCTTCATTTAGCTCAACATGCCCCACGGACACTCTTGTATTCCGAGAGGTTGACTGTGGAGGTTTGATGAGAAGAGTTGAGGGTCGTTTCGTTACTATCCTTGGTGCTCATTTCCAGTTCTATAAGAATATTGTCACTCGAGCTCACCAAGTTCGCGGTCATGCCACACTTTTCGTGCTGCCACTTCTTGAAAATATAAAGGCGTGGCATGATCGTCACTTCTTTTTGTACCCCGGCTGAGTTCCTCACATGTTTCGTTAAACTAATGATGTTAAACAAACGCTTCTTGGGAGGCAACCCAAGTGATTTATCGTTTGCCTAGATATTTTCCTTTATGCTTTTTATTTCTATTTTTTGAATAATTGGAGTTTTGGAGTTCTATGGTTTTCTTGGCAGGTACGAGTTTGCGAGCTCGAACATAAGGATTGGTTAAATGAGGCATATTGAGGTTTTAGGTTGAGCATAGGCTAACGGCTTGCACGTGAATGCTTTTTCTCCTCGATGCATCTTCAGTTTGCACACCTTTTCTTTTTTATCTTTTTTAGTTGTTTCTTTCCCCTATCTTTTCTTTTGAGTTTTGTGTTCTTGTGCTAGCTACTAATATTGGTTCGTTATATGAAATTGTTAGGTCATATATTTGATTTCATGTTTTATGTTGAAGCAATGAGGATATTGCCTCATTTTAAGTGTCGGGGAGTATACTTAGATTTTGCATTCTTATGTGGTGGACCGGTCTAGTGTAGGTTTTGTTTGTTCTGTGAGTATGGACTTTGGAAATTTCAAGATTAGGTAAGACTTGTTTTGATGAATTCGATGAGTTGGGGTGTTGGTCATATGCGTCATAGCGTGATGAAATGCTTGGTCGATTACTTTGATTGGCATTCAAATATTTACCTAGTGAAGTTTACGACCTTATTTGTTTCTTGAGATACATTGGTCATGCTCTTGTTTGATTAGAACTTGTCATGAGTCTGTATTGAAATAAATACATTAGAATTGTGAACTATGTATACGATTAAGACGTTTATTGTACTATATCCTTTTCTTTCTCTAAAAATTATTCCCTAGTCTCCCCTTTTTTAGTGTTATTTGATTTTTTTGATAACCTCATGATGGTGACGTTGTTGGAGTTGCGGGTTAAGAATTAGA